CTTTGCGGAGTAAATCAAGAGGAATCAAAAGGATCATTTTTGGAAATTCTTCTTCATTGCCCTGATTTTTATTTTTTGTTTGCGTAAAAAAAACTTAGCATGTAAAACCTGTGTTTTATAGGTTTTTTTTTTTTTTTTTTTTTTTTTTTTTGTAGCTCTAAAAGCTTTAACCAGCGGTGATTTCTTTTAAGAGCATTGTAATTTTTTGCCTGATAAAATAAAATCCATGCCCATAAAATAAGCTTTTCAAAAAAATAAAAAAACTTAAGCAAATTAGACATCGATAAAAGATTCATATCTATAAAAAAAATATTCGTTTTAAAAAATAAGAAATGTATTAATTCAAGTGGATGCATTAAGGGCCACAAAAATGAAGCAGTCAACTACTCGCTGCCGTGACTAAACTAATTTCACCATGTAAAACTCTCAACTTGCTTCAATGATTTTCTACGTAAAGCCAGCTACTTGCATCTCTTCTTGTACTTCATGTAACTAATGGCCGCTCCATTATCTCCAACTCCCCGCTTCCATGTACTATTCCCCCAGCTACAACCTCAACGTATCCTCTCTTCCTTTCTCACCTTTCTCATCCTCATAATATCCTCACAAAGCTATCTGCATATTATCCTCACATAGCTTCCTTCTTTCCAAATTTATGGAGATTTGTCGAAGCTCCAGTGAAACTGGTTCCTTCAGGCGAAAAGGTCTGATGTCGAAGACACTTCGACGTTGCCGCTCGCTTGGAAGGCAGTCCGGCGGGGGGCAGACCTCGCCGCCGGTGGGATGGGTTTCGGTTCGGGTGGGGATGGAGAAAGAAAAGTTCCTGATTCGGGCCGAGTGGATGAACCACCGCCTTTTCCGGCAACTCCTTGATCAGGCTGAGGAGGAGTACGGATACGGAACGAAGGGATTGCTTGAGCTTCCCTGTAGCGTTGAGGCGTTCAACTTGGTGCTTTGGGAAGTGGAGCGGGACAAGACGGACAGCGCCGCCGCAGCGTCTCGGACACTGTGTGGGTTCACCGCCTCGCCTTCGAGGTGAGCGAGTGGGCTCCGCGCGTCGCCGCCTGATGGTTCTGGACTGTTATGTAGCGTTAGTTGTAACAGCCGCGTGAAGGTCAGCAGATGGAACTTTTATTTGGTTCGGTTGAACGGATCCAGAGGAACATCCGGTTGTAGGCAAAATCCCGCCTATACCGAGGTGTACCGAGTTTTTCCAAAAAAACTCGATACACCTTGATATAGGCGGTATTTTGCCTACGATCGGATATTCCTCTGCATCCGGTCGGAGGACGTAATAACGGCTCCAGCAGATGGGGAGATTATTTTGTGTGTACGTCTTTGAATGACATCCGGCATCCTTACAGAATAATTTCGTCTACAGATCTCCAAGGTCATAAAAAGAATAGTGGTAGTCTAAAAATAGGAGTGAGAGTATGTTCTGATTTATTTATCATGAATATATTATTGAAGTTAAAGAGTAACAATATTTAGAATTAAAATTTG